GCCTTGGATGCAAGTGTTGAGGCTAATTCATTGCCAGTTTTGTTGGATGATCAAAGTTCATTTAGTTCTACTTCAGGATTGGAACAGCAGTCAGAAACACGGACACAACAAAACAATTTTGTCACTCCGAGGCAAATAAGTTCTGCCATTGATGCGTCTGAGAAGACACGCTGTCTATGTTCAGTAACTGTGGCTATTTTAGTCATATTGTCACATTTGGGATTTTCTTTTCTAGGAAACAGATTCTTAGGGAGCATTATTAGCTTTAGGCCTCTTTGCTTCATTTTGCTAACCAATTTAACGGTGGTGATTGCACGACTTCTTGTTGGTGATCATGGAGGTTCTCAGAGAGCTATCAGAGAAGAGAACAAGAATGCTTCCACAGAGGAAAATAACTGGGCTGAGCAATTAAGCAAGACTTTGGAGGTTGGATTGGTAGCGCAGAAGGTGATTGATGCGGTGTTCATGGATTGCAGTGTATATGCAGTAATTGTCATATGTGGACTCTCCTTCACATAGCAATTCAGCAAGCATATTTCTGTTGATTAGTTTCGCTGTGTGTTAAGTGTTATGTTGTATGTTTTAGCTCCCCACCAAACTTTTCCGAGCTGAATAGATCAAGAATGATATTCTTTTGTGTACTTGTGAGTCATTTTTTTTATATTACAAACTATATTCAATAAAGTATCGGTTTGCATATTTGTAATTCTCACACTGCAATTGTATGGTACGTGAATTGATTTTCCAGATACTAGGAATTGGGGTCCTGCTATAAGATAAGGCTCTTGTTCTGTTTCATAGTTAATGCTAATGGACCCATATTGACAAGTGAGACAATTCCAAGACGTGGAATCTTTATGAGTCATTGCGTCAAACATAACTATATTAACAAAGATTGCGGCTTTAGTCCATATATGTGCTTATGGAAGTTACCCAGAGAATGAGAAGTGATCCAAGCACATGATTTTACTACAAACGTAAGTTTCTCTTTTCCTGCATACCACCATTTTTGTCTCCAAGAAACCACTCATGGGCATCAATTTTCCTCAATCCCGCTAAGCTCACGCAGTTTTGCGGCATGGGTACACAGGTTTTTCACTGAAGATCGGGCTTGAACTGAAGTGCTGTTTTGCAGGGTAATCAATGACCAGATTGTTGTTTCCTATTTGGAGAAAGAGGCAGAGATTAGCCAATCTCTTAAGATATTGTTCAAAAAACTCATTGCTTGATCAAGGAGTTCAGGTTCATGCAGCTACTTTGAGAATGGGATTTGGTTTTGACTTAATGTTGAGCAATGATCTTATAGGTATGTATGCGAAATGTGATGAAATAGACATGGCTTGTCTTGTGTTTGATAGAATGATTGACAGAAATGTGGTTTCTTGGACAGCGCTCATGTGTGGCCATTTACAGAATGCTAATGCCAGAGCAACATTGTCACTTTTCTGTCAGATGGTATTCTTATGTGTTAAGCCAAATGAGTTTACTTTTTCCACGAATTTCAAAGCGTGTGGGATTTTGCATGTTCCTAAGATTGGAATGCAAATTCATGGTATATGTGTAATATCTGGCTTTGAAAGTGTCCCTGTGGTGGGGAATTCAATAGTTGATATGTACTCAAAATGCGGAATAATTAAGGAAGCAGCGAAGATGTTTAATGTTTTGCCGGTTAAGAATCTAATAAGTTGGAACACAATGATAGCAGGTTATACACTTGCAGGCCAGGGTGAGAAAGCTTTAGTTTGGTTCCATAGAATGCAAGAAAATGGAGAAATCCTGGACGAGTATACATTGACAACCATGTTGAAAGCTTGTAGTGGTCTTGGTAAGATTAGGGAAGGATCGGTGATTCATGGTTATTTGATCACTAGTGGATTTCCATGCTCAGCTAAGGCAGCCATTGCTGGTTCTCTCATCGATTTTTATGTGAAATGTGGGAACTTGGTTGAGGCTCGAAGGGTGTTTAATCAGATTGGGGAGAAGAATGTAATATCATGGAGTGCATTAATTCTGGGGTATGCTCAAGAAGAGAACTTGGGAGAGGCCATTGAGTTGTTTAGGCAGCTTCAAAACAGCAGCATGCGAGTGGATGGGTTTGTTCTATCAAGTATGATGGGCGTGTTTGCTGATTTTGCGCTTGTGGAGCAAGGGAAGCAAATGCATGCATATGCTGTTAAGATTCCTTATGGTTTAGAGATATCTGTTTTCAATTCAATTGTGGATATGTATCTCAAGTGTGGAATACTAGATGAGGCAGAAAGACTTTTCAATGAAATGCCAGCAAGAAATGTGGTCTCTTGGACGGTTATGATCACTGGCTTTGGAAAGCATGGTTTGGGCAAAGAGGCAATTCGTTTCTTTGACCAAATGCGATTGGATAATATCGACCCTGATGCGGTGACTTACTTGGCTATACTCTCAGCCTGTAGTCATTCTGGACTCATTGAGGAAGGTGAAGAATATTTCTCACAGCTGTGTCATAATCGATCGGTCAAGCCGGGGATAGAGCATTATGCCTGCATGGTTGACCTTCTGGGTCGAGATGGACGCTTGAAAGAAGCCAAGGACCTGATCGAAAGCATGCCCTTAAAGCCGAATGTAGGGATATGGCAAACGTTGCTCGGTGCTTGTAGAGTACATGGAGACCTGCAACTGGGGAAAGAAGTAGGCAAAAGTCTGTTGACATTGGATGGCGACAACCCTGTCAATTATGTGATGATTTCAAACATATATGCTGAGGCTGGCTATTGGAAGGACTACGAAGCAGTAAGAGAATTGGCGAAAACAAAGGGGTTGAGGAAAGAGGCAGGGCGTAGTTGGGTGGAGATTGACAAGGAGCTGCACTTTTTCTACGGCGGGGACAACACACACCCGCTGATGGAGAAAATTCATGTAGTACTGACAGAGATGGAGAAGAAGATGAAACAAGAAATGGGTTATGTTCATGGGGTCAAATTTGCATTGCGTGATATAGATGAGGAGTCCAAGGAAGAGAGCTTGAGAGTTCACAGTGAGAAGTTGGCGATTGGGTTGGCGCTTCTCCATGGGGGCTGGGATGAAGGAAGAGTGATCCGGGTCTTCAAGAACTTGAGAATTTGTGGGGATTGTCACGATTTCATCAAGTGTCTGTCGAAGATTCTAAAGGTAGTTTTCGTGGTGAGGGATGCTAACAGATTTCACCACTTCAAGGACGGCCTGTGTTCTTGCAGAGATTATTGGTGATTCTGTTTTGGCATTGCTGACCTATTCATTGGTTTCAAAATCTCTTTGGTCTCGAGATGGAGTGGGGAGTCACGATTTGAGTCACAAATCTTACATTAACTGACATTATAAATCTCACATTATCTGTGCATTATTAAAGTAGAACCGAATATTTCAGTGTTCACACCATTGTCGATCTATAAATCGCTTTTATAAGATCAAACTATAAAATCCAATGAGGGTTTCCTGATGGGGTCAAAGTAGATAAAATGTGAACCATGCCCCACAACATAAAACTGATCGAAAAGGAACAAAAAAAACTGATAAGAAAGAAACAATAAAAAGTCCGAACTGTTCTCCAGATTGAATCAAATAAAAAAATTTTATTTGTACAACAAAATTGCTCATCTGATGTTTAACAGAAAGGGTAATAATTGGCTTCCCTTCAATGAACTCCTCTTTTCTTCCATTTTGTGCACTTCTTGTGAACAAATTCAGACAGAACCCTACCTTTACTTCCCCCAATGAAGCTAACTTCTTTTTTCTTCCATTTTAAGCACTGCTTTTAAACAATTCAAAGACGAGCCTTACCGGGCTATTGAGGACTTCACAACAGATGCAACTTCTATATTTTCACTAAAACCAACATTAACATACATACATGGAATCTCAAAATTTGTGGCCTCTGCCATTTGTCACTCAGATATCCCAAGCATTATGAAATCATTGATTTACTATTTCCACTTAACTTGGATTCTTAAAAAAAGGATGATTTAGAGCTTGATGTGCTGTGAGACGTTCAGATGGATCATATTTCAATAAACCTTCCAACAGCTCTTCGAGTGAATATCTTGAGCTCTCTACATGTTGTGATACCATATTCTGTGGTGAAGAACAAGGGTGTTAATATCATTGAAAGGATAAATACTTATCAAAAGCAGACACATGAAAGGGACTCTGACCTTTAGACGATCAAGCTTCTTAACAGCTCTAATACTTTCCCTAGACACTGCTCCTTCAGGCCAATTTAGTCTAGAGCCTCTTCGGAAATATTTTTCAGCACCCCGACTGTATTAAACCCAAAATAAGGTGAGTCATGCAATTACAATCAGTTAATTATGAGATCCAAAGTAAGCTCATAACTTACTTGGCCTTTCCAATCATGTGCTCAGGAAGAGGTCCTAATACCCTCTCCATCATCGCCAAATGCTCCAAGTTCTCATGGGTCTGAAATAATGCTTCACCCTGCACAAAATTCAAGCAGTGTAAGATCCCATGTTCCACATCTGAATGAAGCTAAATGCATCTGAAACAATGCAGGACTGACCGTGCAGAGTTCAATAAGTATACAACCAACGCTCCATAGATCACATGGAAAACTCCAACCTAGACCTGTATCAATGTAGTTAAAAATACATCAAAAATAAGATATGAAATGAGATAAAACAATGCACAGTAAAAGGGTGTCAAAATAATTTTAAAGCAAATGTAGAAACAAGCTAGATTGAAAGGAACCAATAGAGAATCAAACATTAAATTAAAGATCCAGACACCAACTGAAATCAATAAGACATAATCAAAGACATAAAATTCAAAAGGAAAATGACTCATGCAATTTCCAATTAGGATTTTCAAGGAACCACGGAATCAATCAATCTAGTATTGTTGCTTTTAGTTTCTAAAAATGTGGTCCTCGAATACCCTTTCTTGAAAGGCTTACCCAAATAGCACCTGAAAATTATCATTTAAAAGTGATTTCCTCTACCTATCCCTGGAAAAAAGGAGGAAGAGAGCAGAAGAGAGACTACCCAATAGCTTCCATGCTTGGAATTAGAACACAACATTAAGAAAACAATGGGAATCTACCAACACAATAATTGGTTACCTAGAATAACCTCAGGGGCTCTGTAATGCCTTGTAGAAACAATGGAGCTATGGTTCTGATTATCAAATGCAGTACTACCAAAATCAATCAGCTTAATGGCACTTGACTTTGGCAAGCACCTGAAATGCGTTTCATCTGAAGAACTCCTCTGTACCATTCGAAGCATATTTTTTATTGTCATAACTGAGTTTGTACCCAAATCTAAAATGGCATAAATTGTCTATTATAAAAGGCCATATACCTTGCAGCCAGGAAGCTTTACATATTCAGATGATACAAGAAGAATATTTTCTGGCTTCAAGTCAGTGTGGATTAAGCGTAAATCATGCATATCTGCCAGATATATTAAAGCATAGAAAAAAAAATTGTTAAACAAAAGGGACACAATACATAACCCGATGCTACCCCTGAACAAACAAAAGAGGCCAAAAAACAGAACAGGGTGATTGGTAAGAAAAAGAAAGATGATAAAATAGGAACCAAGAACAATCCACACACATGCTACAGATTCCAAAAGCTGACGTCCAAATTCCCGAACAAGATCCACAGGAAATGGGCAGTATTTATTTCTCTTTAGAAAATCAAATAAACTTGGCCCAAGCTTCTCAAACACCTGATAACACCATTAAAATGCATCCACAGGAAGGTTTGTGTTTAGTCCCAATTACATGAATGAAGTCCACAAACAAACAATAACAAAGGCATCGTAACAGATTTAACTATTTCATTCATTCACAGCACAAAGATAAGGACTCATCCACTAATTCTCCTGAAAAGAATCACAGCAAACCAAGAAGGAATGACGCATCATGCATACTAAGAGAACAAGCAACTTCAACACTTCAGCCACAGCTTTCATAGCAAAATGTTAAGTTAACCTCTTACTTAAAATAATGTTACGAGTTCCATAATTTCCTTAAAGAAAAGGCATGAATGAAAAGAAACACAAAATGGTTAAAGAAGTTTAATACTTACGATACAAATGTGATTGCGGTAATCAAACCAATTTCGAATCTGCACACAGCTGCAAGAAGAGATCAAAAGAGTCAGTAACAGCAAATGATGAGATGAGACACAATACCTATAAACTGAAATTAGTAATACACGTACCGTGAGGTTCCTTTATCATTCTTAGCAAGATGTTGAAGTATATCAACTTCAATCATTGCTGCATCACGGTATTTACGTATGCTTCTAACTACCTTAATTGCAACATACTCTCGCGTTTGACGATCCCAACATTCCAATACTCGGCCAAATGTGCCTACAACACTAGCAATTTTTTGCTGAAATGTGCCACAACCAGAATCACAAAAATTAAAAGATCTCACAGCAGAGCAGAGCACTTTGACAGCTAACCTTCACCCATCTTACTAAGTATTTTATCTGACAAAACATTAATAAACCAAATTTTAATAAAAAAATTAAATCCTAAACATATGCAAAAGAAAAAAAAAACTGAAAATTAAGGTGCAAAAAAAAAAAAGCTTACATCTTGAAGTGAGATTTTCGCCGAGATTAAAAACGTAATGGCCTTCGTGATCATCATCCCTCTTCGGCGGCGACGAACGTCGAGCAGTCACCAGAGCTCGTTGCGCCTACAAACCCCACAAAGGTCAGATTTTTTATTTCAAATCCAAGAAAACAACTTTAGCCTTATAGGGTTAGCTTTCTCCCTTCTTGCTCTGGCTGTGCCCTAACCCTAGTTTTTTTTTTTTTCTTTATGAAGAACCAACCTCTGGCCCAGATGGTGCCACGTCCCACCCAAGACGAGGCCGTTTCCTGGTTCGCGCCTTCTCCATCTCTTCCACTTCAATTACCATCGTTTAAACTCCTGGCAATGGATCCCTTTATATATCTGCAAACACAGAATCTTTAAACTTCCAACAGATTTTAGTGTATCTCCAAGAGGAAAGCAGTCGGGAGATTTTAAAAATGAATTTTTTTCTTTGAGGACAGAGGCGGTTAGCCGGTTAGGGCTTTTTTTACTCTCTATGCGATTGGGGATTTTTGCGCGAATTTGTTAATCGTATGTACGTTTTCCCGTTGTAATATATCTCCGTTGTGCCCTTCCTTCTCTCTGCGTATGGCGGTTAAGTCTCTAACTGTTTTCACTTTTGGGCTAAGAAATTTCCTTTTGGGCCTCTATGGGCCTCTATGAGTTTGCAACACTTAGACTCGTAATATCCCATGATGCTAAATTCACATACACCTTTTGCGTATTGGAACAAAAACTAACAACCAATATACAGTCATCTTAATCCAACTAACATCAACAAAATATAACTATTCCATAATAAGATACCCTTCTTAGTATTTGGTGGCCCTATTTGCATTGCTTGAACAATAATTTATTTGTTTGCAGTGAGACATCTCCATTAACCTACCCGTATCACACCTATCCCCCACCCATTTGACAACCTGTTGACAATCCATCTCAACCTCATCTAGCATTAATGCCCAGGATAAAGCCTTCAGCTCAACTTCACCAATATACAGCTTCTGTGACTGCACATTCAACTCAGCAAGCACCATTATACCATAGTTATTCTTAACTATGAAACCTGCACCAAATTTCGCTAACCCATTAGCTATAAAAATGACAACATCAACATTAACTTTGATATCAATAGGCTTCCTCTATTTACAAACAACATTCCTCACCTCAAGTTCATTAGTTCTTGTAGACATATTTGCTTCTCTAAATTGTCATTTTTTTTATTTGAAAATTAAGTTGTTCCATTCATTCGATAATATCCAAAAAAATATAAATAATCTCTTCAATCTCTATTTGCTCTATTAATAACAAGATCCATTCAGTAATCGAAGAGTTATAATTTTTACGTGAACACTATTATTTCTAAAATACTCGAATTATTATCTAAACTCATGATAGGTAGTTTTTAAATTCGATTATAAGTCATAATTTGATATTTACAGTATAATTTATAAAAAAAATTATTTAAGGTACTATTAATATAACAAAGGAATATAAGTTAATTATTGAAAATATTTAAATTTAGCTTAAATTAATTGACTAAAGTTAAGGGATTAAGGAACCACTTGTGAAAGTTGATACCGATATTCTGATATGCTCATGATGCTGGTTCTAGATTCGATGTGAAATTTAACCAATAGCGTCGCATCCGAACTCCCGACGTTGGTCCATCCCATGTTATCGACATAATGAGCTAAAGCATGGGTTTCATTTAAAGAATAAACAAAAGCAACCCAAAACCATCAGCCCGAGACAAACCAGTCACAGCCCACAGTTCTTCGCCCATTCCCAAACATAGATTTTGAGATTTCTACACGTTTTCGTCACGCATCCAACGACCCAAAATAAAAGGCAGAAAACCAGAAAAAAAGAGAAAGGAGCGTTCCTACCACGCGACCACCACGAGCCGCCTTTAAGTAGTCAAGTACTGGAACTCAACTGGTTCTCCATTGCTCGTCGGTTTGCCCTTCGGACCGAACACGTACAAAATAAAAAGCAAAGAGAAATGCAGTCACTGCAGGAAAAGGCTTCCGAGTGGAGTGGCGTTGACCCTGCCGATGCCTTTGCCATTGATGATACGAATTTGTTCCAGAAATTGGGACTCCAAACCTTCATCAACCTCTCCACCAATTTTTACACCAGGTAACTCTTTTTTTTTTTTTTTTGGCTTTTTGAAGCTTATTACTGTCTTTTTGAACTGGGTTTTTTATGATCAAGATCTTGTTTTTTGATTGGTTGCCTTGGAAATTAGGGTGTACGATGATGAAGAGGAGTGGTTTCGATCAATATTTGCTAATTCCAAGAAAGAAGAAGCCATTCAGAATCAATATGAATTCTTTGTGCAACGAATGGGAGGGCCTCCTCTTTATTCTCAGAGGAAAGGTTAGCAAATTTTCCGTTTCGTTTGTACTGTGTTTGTTACCTTTAGTTGAAATTTAGTTTAAGAATGAAAAACTGAAAGGAACCATTTTTAGAGTAAATATTGGAATATGGGATTCAACTATTCAACAGTAGATGTAAGTTGAACTCTTCATGGGGCTAATCTAGGTGTTCTTCTTGATGGTTTTGGAATACCAAGATCAGACTGGGCAAAAGTAGAGTCTATCACACTCTGGTGTGGCCTTTTCAATAGATCTTATTTGACTAAATTGTATGCTTAACTGACTTCACAACCTTCGAGCAAATTGCAACCTATAATCTTCTGGCTGTTGCATAATGTTCTCCTTGAATTCGATTGTGAGACGTACGGTGAAGAAGGGGAGATCATTGCCTTAATTTTACTTCCATACTTCTGACGATTAGGTGTGTTTGATAACATTAGGTGCAGCCTTACTTTTTTACTGTCTTTAATAGCTTTATGCTTATTCTTCTCTTATATGAGAGTGATAGAAGGATAAAGCACCCCTATAGATGTTGTCCTTAGGGTAATAACAGAGAGAATAAAGTTTGAGGCTACGGGAATTCAACTTCTTGTTACCACTTACTTGATGCTAATAAGGCTTCTGTCTTTTAGTCTTTCTCTTAACAATTTCTTGGACTGGCGTTTATTTTGCTCTTCATACCTTTCCTTGTGATGCCTTGGCAGGTCATCCTGCATTGATCGGGCGTCACAGACCATTTCCGGTTACGCATCAAGCTGCGGAGAGATGGTTGCATCATATGGAAAAGGCATTAGAGAGCACCCCAGACATTGATGCTGATTCAAAAATCAAAATGATGAATTTTTTCAGGTACATGTTTTATCTTCTTTCCATCTTGTGCTAATATTTGTGCTTTACTTGCCTCTGTGTTTGGACGCTTGTTGTCTTGTTCTTGTTCAAAATTCATGAGACATTATAATGTGTTTTTGCAGGCACACTGCATTCTTTCTTGTGGCTGGAGATGAGTTGAAGAATCAAAACCAAGGAGTTACATGTAAGCATGGGTCCAGCAAGCCAGCTGCAGTGTAAACCGTTTTAACAGGAATTCCCCATTCCTTTGTTGAGAGAAAACATGGATATTGCCATTCATTAACCACTTAATTATGTAGTGTTGTAACTTAAAAACCCTTTTATTATGAATAAATCATGAATTTTTGACATAACTTTGTTTTATATATTGATGAAAATATTCTTGGTTGCCCATAATTTCATGTACTTGCTCGAAGCTGAATTCTCATAGTGGCTGTCACATGTTACTAGAGAGATGGAAAAATGTAAGTAGAGTCTCTACATAAATGGTGATCAATGTCTAGAATTCTCATTAGACATGTTTGTGCTTGTTTAATCCTATTCCTTTTGGATGGTGGAGGTCAGGCTAAATGGTAATTTATGAGCATGAGTACCCAAACTTGCTTCAGCGATTTTACCATGAGGTTCAACTTCAAAAAACTCAATGGTTATTCTACTGCGGTAGTCGATCAGGTTCAATTAATTTTCCCTTGCCGCCTGTGACCTTGCTGTTCATTCTGATATTAGACCTAGTCTGAAATCCTGTTACAGTTTATTTATTTACCGAGTCCAGATACTTGCCAAAAATTTCTAATGCTGGAAAAGGCCCCATTGTCAATCTGCTCCTGTAGTGTTTCAGATCATTGCGCTAGTGATGGACATGTTTGAGGCCTTGTTTGCCAGATAATGTGCTTTCTGTCATGGCAAGTGCTTGGATTGAGGATTTGATTATTGGCAGTGGATTTTGTGATGGGCAATTGGGCACTTTTCCATAAAGTCAGCAAATGGTTTTGCAGCTACTCTAAATGGGATATAAAGCTTTTCTGTACGGAAATTGGAACGTGCTTCATGACGGTCTTCCAACTAATGCTGCGGCCTATGGGTATGAGAAGAAGATCGATAGCTCGAGCTCATTGTCCTCGCCACATGATGAGAACATTTTGCATCCCCACTTGATTCTAGACTTTTTCTAGTAAGTCATAAGCATTGTTTAATATGTGCAGCTTTCGTTGCTGATGGTTTCTCGGGCAATATCTCGTCAATGACTAATGCTAGTTGATTTCCAAGTTTAAGTTCTTATGATTGTGATTTTTACTTCACAATAACCGCAAACGTTTGCACTTATTTGAGGCTTATCGTTTTACATCTTGAACGTAAATTGATGATGGGATGGGACTCAGGCACTCATCTACATGTCTACCCATTCCTGAGGGCATTGTCTCTCACCAAGAGAGGTTGAGGCTGGCTCTGGGTCCATCACTGACTGTGCAGACCACCGCCCCAAGTTTCGAGTCAATGCAACACTGTTCACATTTAGCAGAATCCAGATTTCATGGTCACCAAAAGACAAAGGCATAAGCTGCGGTTACCGGGGAATATAATTATCATTATAGTACGCTCTAATTAAGTTGGCGTCATGATTCTAAAGTGATACGCTACCAATTTAGTGATAAATAAATTCATTTAGACTGCAAATTGAAACTAAAGTTGCCCTGCTTTTTCCCTTGGAATCCTTGAGGACTTAATATTTGTAGGAAGTGTAACAGAGAGTTAAGAAATCAACAACTGATTCCAACACAGATTTGCAGGATAAAGACGGCATGATTAACCCCTGCTTGGAGAATCTTTGCACATAGAAAGTAATCCTTTTAACTACAATGAGTGAATGATCATCTTGCGTTTTTTTAATTGATTTTTAGATTTAGTACAAGGAAAAAACTTGCTGGCTTTTCCTTGATTAGACTTTTGAGGCATAATTTAATGGCTGACAACAGGCTTCAAGGGGATCCATCGTCAAGCTGGCCCAGCGCTGTCAATGCCACGCAGTTTTTGAGAATTGTTTCTTCTTACTTTTGGTTATTTCCAGTTCTAGAGATATCTTTGGAGCTTATGGAGATTTGGGTGTGTGCAAAATCACTGTTAAACAACGTGAAGCAGTTAAAGTTGGATTGAAACATTGGAACATGCTAAAACATACCTAGATGACTCTATCCCCATAAAATATAAAGAAAACAAACACTAAATACTGCAAAGATTCTCTTTGCTTTTTTATCATGGTGTCTTCCACTAAGTGAAATAGTAAAATGGGAGAGGCGGTGAAGCCTTTCAAAAGCATCTTCATCTACTTGTGAACAAAGCAAAGAGTCAGTAAAAGTTGGAAACATTCCATGTTGTTCTTTGTCTCTGTGTTGTTCACTTTGCATTGAGATCATAAACCAAGGTAAAATTGTTTAGTATTTCCAAGAACGACAAGGGTAATTTAACAGGAAAAAGACAAGGAGCGAGGAACACTCGAACATGCTTAGAAACATAACATTTCTCGGTTTAATAGTTTGCTAAAGTTTCCTTAAAAACCTGGCAATGGGAACTACACATTGGAATGGCTGATTCTATAATGATTTTGCATGAGTTTTGGATCAAAACAGGACATGGATTCGACCCAAATAATGACACGAACCATTCATTATTAGGACTGCCTACCTCATTTATTTCTGGGAATTCACAGCCATTGAAATTGTTTGACTTCAATCCAATGGGCTTGCAGAGGAAAAGAGAGAGTTCAAACTAATGATTCGGAGACAAAAATTGAGAGCAGCAACAAGAGAAGAAAAGAAAAGAAAACTGTATACAAAACCATGAGGTGTTGAATTCTTACAAAGATCAAACTCAAAAGATAAACTAAACACATAAGACTTTCCTATTCATTTGTTTAATCACATCAATGCAACTTTCTTTGAGATCCTGGACGGATCAGCGAACCGAGCTGAAAAGGACCGAGAAAGATTATCAGGTTCTGCCCATCCTGTTCCTTGATCAAAATTTTGTGAATACTCATCTGGGTCATAAGAAGCCTGGAATGCAACAGGAGAACTGAAGATCTTCTTCCTTTCTCTTCTGAATTTCTTCCAAAACGTTCTCCACGTTGGTCTCGAGGCATCTTTCCCACGTTGGTTGTAGCTCCGGCCTAATGTGATAGTTTCTCTGCCTGAGTTGTGCCTGTGCCATCCTTTGATTTCCATGGCTAGTAATGAAGAAACTTTGACCTTATGTTTTCTTGTTGGGTTCTTAACTCATGGTCTAGACTTTGGTAAGAGCAAGATGAGGTTTATATAAATGCATGTAACGTGACTTTATGATATGTATACGTATATATTCATGACTCCCAAGTACATTTAACATTTCATCCAAAAAGAAAAGTTTTACCTGATCAACTGATCTCTGAGTTTGTGTCAAGCCATTAGCTTGGCTGCATAAGCGGCTTGGCTATGCCCAACTGAACAACTGATTCAATGGAAATTTTCAATAATAAATCATAACATAAATCTTGATAAGAATGTACTAAGCGTACGTTTGGTGAAGGTGGAATCATGAAGAAAAGATGGACCCGAAATCCTGTGAACGAAATGAGAGAGAAATTGAGGAACTTTAACAGGCTAAAAGGCTCCAGCCATGAAAGAGTTTAAAGGTAAGCTACCACAGAAGAGAGGACCACATTTTCCAGCTTTAAGAGTCAAAAGTTAAACCGCCGAAAGAGTCTTCCTTTGCCAGCGGCGTGCCAGTTTTTGCATCAGCCATGGAAATACAAATATATATATATAGAATAAGATTGGAATGGTAAGCAATGGCAGTAACACTTAGTTGACAAGTACTGTCAATTGTAGAAAAATACACTAAATCCATAGTTTCCAAGTTTGAAAAGCTGGCTCGAATCGTAATTGAATCAAGTTTTGAAATTATATTTGATCAGCTATTCAGTCGCCATCATACATAATCTCTTTCTCCATTGCAAAATGGACCAGTGAATTCCTGCTTTGAGAATGGTGGACTGCAAAATGTTAATCCCATTATTTACCCAAGTTTTTGGTCATTTGCTCATCTTTTCAGACACCAACATTATGTCCCTATCGTAAATGTATATTGGAGCCTGAATAACCTGATGTTGACCATCTCAACTAACATTCCTGAATAAAGAATTATGGCTTTGAAGGTTTGACCGGCTCACCTTTTGGGGAGACGCATGTCCGAGATACAACAAGACAATTAAATACGGACACCATACGTATTTAAATGAATTTAAATTTGTGATAATTATGTCAAAATCAGTTTAAGATTCATCTAACATATAATTAATTAATTATATTATTGTGTATTTTTTATTTTTTATATATTTAATCATGTTTGTATAAATTTTTTATTAATTCATATAAATATTAATATTTATATAATAATAAAGATTTATTGATATTGAATTTTATTATATTTGATAAAATATTATGATATTTATAATTGTTTGTTATAAATTTGAATAATAAAATTTTATTTTAATTATATTTTAATCTTGTAAACATGCTATAAATTATATAAACTTTAATTATGTTATGTCATATAAATTTAATTCGACATATGTAATATATGTTTTAGTTGTGTCGCGTTGTATTATACATGTATTAAACATATCAGTTTATATGTTTAATATCCTGACACAATTAGTTAATCGTATCGTATTCATATTTAGTTGTATAACTATTAATATCTTATATTTACATAATACCATTAAAATAAAAAATACAAATTAATAAATTTAGACATGACGAGTGAGCCGAGCAGTCGGCTGTTATCTGTTGATGCCTTGAATATTCGCATGCTTATGAGACAATTTTCAGCACGGGTCGGTAACGCGGCTTGAACTCAATATGAGTTGAAACAATTAAGACACAAATCCATGAACTCAAACAATAATCTTATCCTTTGAGAACAAATTAATCATTAACCACTTGTAAGTCAAATGAAAAGTTTGGGAAGATTTTGAGTATACAACCTGGCATTGGGATTGTAGTATGAGTTTTACTTTATTTGAATATCCTTCTGACCTTGATAATTTATGGGAGAATATCCTACCGAGTGGATAGAACATTAGACTTTCACGCATCAACCTCCAGAAATTTTCTAGTATTTCCGAACCAAAAGGATCAAATGAAGTGGATTTTGTTTTTCTTTCGTGTTGAAGAAAGTAGTGGAAAGGAGCATAACACCAAATTCTTTTGCACATGGACGATGAATAAATAAAAGATAGCTACATTGCATTGCCAAGAACTACTGTCTGGCGTAAAAACTGCAGTTCACTAGGATACAAGTTAGGGGGAAATTACTGACAAAACAGAGCTGATGCCTCTAGGAGGGGGCACCATTTGGTTTCTGTGAAAGGGTGATGGTTCTCAACTTCTCATAAGCATCAGAGCAGGCACGAGAATAGTCTGACATAGCCCGGAATAGCTCAGGCAAGCGAATTTTAAGACTTCCTAGAGACTTCTCTCTCACTTGAATGCAATGTTTTTGGTGGGCTTCGACTTCCTCTTCCAACCTCTTTTTCAAGCTCTCAACCGCAAATTGCCTCTCTGAGACAGGATCCTTTGCATTCGCATCTTCACCTCTTTCAGCATCTATTTCATCAGATGCAGTTCTCCGTTGCTTATACTTCTGATACCATTCCTCGAATGCCTGGCTCTTGCGAAAAAATTCCTTCCTAGTTTCCTCACATTTTTCTTTTAGCTTCATCTCTTCATCTTGATGAATAATTATGGTTTTTATCACAGCAGCAAATGACAAGATTGAGGATTTAGCAACCTCATCAGGAAGCTTTTCAAGATAGTCATGCCATGCATGGAGGAGTGCTTGGATTGGAGGATTCTGCGCACGTGGAGGAGATGAGATTTTCTCTTTCAAGCTGCTTTCGATAGGGATGAGATTTAACTTTAACCAGCTGTTGAGAGCTTGGATGTATTGCTTTTGATGAGTCACTAGCTTATCAAATTGTAAATGCCACTCTTGGACAACACTGTGAAGTTGGATGGTGCGCTCATGGTGGTGCTTTGTTGTTTCTTTGGAAGCATGAGCAATGTCAAGAGGTTTAAGCTTTTCAACAATCTGGAGCTGGCTATTATGATGTATGCACATACTTGCCCACATGTTAGCCATCCTGCAATACAGATGTCAAATTTCAGGGTCATGATCAAATTCACTTCAAGATTTGCACGCACTTAAGTGCAATAAGGGTACATGATCAAAACCAGCAAAAGTCATTGGTGATAAGTTGGTTTCTTAAAGCAACACATACAAGCAACACAAACAATTGAGGATAAGTTGATGAAGAAAAGATGCCAAATACAAAGAAAGCATAATCTCTTCATCAAAGATATTATACAGCAAAATTAGAAGCAATACATGGCTTTCTTGATATTTTCATAGGAAAAACTTACCCATGAACAAGCACAACAAGTTTTGGATACAGCTGCTCATCACGTAATCGGTTAACTTCTGATACTGTTGAATCCATGGACTGCATGTCAACTATGTATCTCGTATGTAAATGACTTACAGCCGCTTTTGTTTTCTCCAATGATTCAGCACTAGCTCCACGTTTCTTCTGCTTGTTTAACCAAGCAACCTTCCTTTTATACTCAAGCTTCATCAGCTCTCCTTGCTATAACAGGGACCAAATTTTCATAAGATTCAGAACAAGGTCAAATACAAGAAAAAGAATAGCCTACCAATATTAAAATTAAAATGATCTTTCATTTAGGCAAATATTCATTTAGCAGAAATTAGCTTTGTGATTGATTGACAGGGAACTTAATATGACATGGCTATTATCTACATAGGTATAATTAATCCAAATTTACAGAGAAAGGTGTTTGTTGAGGAAGCAATATAGATTGCCATGGTATGCAGCGGGCCATATAATTTGAAAAAGAAAAAACAGATAAACCCAAGATTTAAAATATACCTTAACTTCGTCATAAAGTTTCTTTTCCCATGCCAGCAACTTATCCAGAACAGTGGCATGAGTCTCATACTCTTCTGAATCAAGTTCATCCTTCCCATTTTCACCATTTGTCATGCCTCTGAAAGACCTATTCCATGTAATGACACGCAAGACCCTTGCAGAATGATCAATATGTCCTGCAGTCAACAGGATCACAAACATGATCAATATATGTCATATAATACATTGAAGCATTTGTCATTGTAACTGCAATTACAACTTAAAAAAACAAGATTATGAGCCAAAATCCATAATTTCTGTGAGCTTGATACACATATTCTTAAATATCAACCCGACAGAGAATTGGTTTTTAACTTTTAAAGCTAAATGTGCATTATTCTACTGGGAACGTGATGACTATCACCTATGAAATAACACGAGTAAAATACTGGTAACTGTAGAATAGTCAACCAGGCTCCATTTGACCCCCAAAAAATATAGCCGCTTATTTTTTTGTAAAGAATAAAGCAAAAAGATCTGAGGTCAAGGTCAGATTCTCACATAAAGCTAAAGGACAACAAGATCTAAATGTAAAGCCACCCAACCCAACACAAAAAGCCCATTAAATGATCCAAAATTACAATTTTTTTTTTCTTTTTTCAGATCTCAACAGACTTCAAGCTTCAATTTTTCACAGAAAAGATGTTGACAAATTCCTGCTTTGATCGAACACAACCAAGGACATCAACCATGAAAAAACTCAAATTCTTCACAGCCAAAACTTATTAGCAAATTAACAACAATCTATGTAACGTACGACCAAAGCAATGCAGCAAAACAAGCAAATTACCTCGATTGTCAGCAAAATTGGAATGATAATGCAACCTTGTAGCCTCCAGCATCTTAGAAACCTCCTGAGCACTTTCTGATGCTTTCAAGAAATGATCATCAATCTCATTCAGAACCTGCATTATATTCACACTAGAAACAGCCTTCACCACTCCCCTGAAATCTGCGGGAGCAGTTTTCGAATGTTCAATATGAACCTCCTGCTTCCCTTTATCATCAACCTCCACAGGCATCGCCACCTTCTCCTCCGGCCTCTCCGGCGTCTTCGGCTCAATTTCACTATCAACGCCCCCGTGGCCGTTAAACCCCACGCGAACACCAACATTCTTCTCTAAAGCATCAGCATTTGTAGTCTCAGTTTCATTATTGATGTTGTCCAAACCCAAGCTCGGACCCGCCATGTTCTCGTCCACCCTGAAGAAGTAATCCCAAGCCATGTTTTTAGCTTCGGGCATTGGAGGCGGCTGGTGGCCCACATTGTTGTTCTCCGGAGTCCTTGGTGGGGTTATCTCCTCCCTGTGGGGTCCTCTTGAATCTTTTCTCAAATCTTCATTATTATTATTTCCACGCTCCTCGTTGCCTAGATGATGTTCTTCTTCCTCCTCCTCCTCTTCTTCTTCCTCTTCCTCTTCTTCTTCAATAGCGAGGGAAGAATCAAACTCCTTACGACTCTTGACGGGCATAGCAGGCATACTGACGGCGCGTTTGATGGAGGCGACGGGGCTAGGAGAGAAGTTAGGAAGTGGAGGCGGCGGAGGCAGGTTGTCAATCATAGGAGGCGGTGGAGGCGGCTGAGGAGTGGAGTCAAGAGGAGGGATCTGGTGTTGGTGTTCGAGAGGCTCTGCAGCTTCTCCGTGCCCGTAGTCACTCAAGGCGGCGCCCGTGTTCTTCAAGGAAATGGCGTAGCCAGAGTGACCAGCCGCGAAGGCGTTGCGAGCTATAACCGCATCTTTCATCAAGGTCTTGCGGTCCTTGCAACGAGCCACCGATTCTTCGTTATCTATTCTGGACTGGGCGCAACCCATTTTTCTTTTCCTTTTTTTTTTTTGGAAAAGGAGTGAACACTGAGCGGTGCGGTGGTTCGGTTTCTCTCTTACTACTCTTTCTTGTTTTGGTTTGGTTAGGAAATGAGTCAGGGTTGGAGGTGAGAGAGAGAAGAGGGATTGGTGGGGGGAGAGAAGAGGGAGATGGGAATGAGGTGGAGCATGAAAAGAGAGTGGAATACTGCCAAGCTTGTACAGAGAGGTGTGCAGAGAGGAGGCACGCAGCAGAGAGAAAGGAAAGAGGAGTGATGAGAGTGGGGCATGCGTTGGTACTCGCTGTAATTGATTACGAGGTGTCCTTGTCTCTCTGTTTTTTAAATTAACGGTCACATTTTTTAAAGCTTTGCGACGTCGTTTTCTTCATTTCTCGATTATGTCCTGCAACTGGCATCGAATCCCCTTGATGGACGGCTCTGATGACCCATGACGGTTTTAAATTGCTCTGTAATCCCATTTCATCGTGCTTTTCGGCCTCCATTACTATAAATGGTTCATAAAGAGAAGATAAAAACTAAGGAACAGATCCAAGCAAACTACCCTAAAATTTAACAACGAATAATCTCCGTGCATTGGGCATTACGATTTGGTGCGCTGAGACTTCTTGGATTACTCTTTACCGGTCGTGAAATGGAATGATAAAACTTGGGTTAATATTTTTTAAAAAAAAATTAAATTATTTAAAAATATTTAAATTAATTATTTTTTATTATATTCAATTAAATATTTTTATTTTTATTTTAAATCAAATAATATATTATTAAACAAAATATCATTACTTTATATGACATGATATTAATAGCATTACCATGAACATAAAATAACAAGTCACATTTTAATTAATATCAATTAATTAATTATAAAAATATATTTAATTAAATACAATAAAAATAATTTTTTTAAAATAATTCATGAAAATTTTCCAATATTATGCATTTTTTTATAAGAAGTGGAATTATGAAACTCTGTCCAAGGAAAGAACAGCATGCATTGGGCACTTTGTGGCACTAGATGCCATCCGGCCGGTGTCTAATACATACTAATTATAAGCAAGACAGTTCGAAATATTCGGCCCCCAAACACCATTTTTCAAAGAAAAAGACTGACCTTTTGGGTCTTGAACCACGTTCATTGTCTTAAAAGCGCACCGCCTTGCTCTCTTTTTTGACCTTGAGAATCAATGAACCAACGTTGTCTCGAGTTTCTTCTTTGCAAATTAAGTCAATGTCAAGTGTCCCTTTAAATAAGCCATTAACAATATCTAAACTGTCGACTTTCTACCGAAAAGTGCAAGACCGACAAAACGCATACAGGTAATTCGGTAGTAGGGATGTCCAAATCAAACCACCCAACCCTTAAAAACTGCATCCCTTCTTCAATCGATGAGCAACTGCTCTCAGTTCTAATTCTAAAGTTACCCAACTCCCCCGACAGCAACCATTTGAAAACGTTCACTTAGCCAATTTTATATCAGAATTAACCCTGAAAGTTCCCACCCATAATTGGTGTAACTTGGAAAGATTTTAAGCATTATATTTTAGTTTAATCCCGGCATCGAAGTTAATAGGCACATGCAAACATAACTAAAGGGCTAGTAAAACCTCTCCAAGTGAAAAAGAGGACAACACGAATGGATTCTACAAAATTGTGCCTAATCGAGGATATGTATATACATATATACACGTAAATGTATATATATGTATGTATGTATAAGGAATTAGCACATCATGCTAAAACTGAGCCGCAAAAGAGAATTATATTTACACCTGCTCATCACAAAATTTGCCTCCACTGCCAAAGACGGGATTGGGCCTTTGATTGTGCATATTCTATCAGTTCCAGCAAACATAACCTGGTTGGAGAGCATCTGAGAACAGAGTTGGAATCAGGTTTCCACCAGCTTGACCACTGGAAAATATTTTTCAAAAGAAGTGATAAGTATAGTGGATTTGCAACAAATAAAGAAAATGATGTGTTAGTTAGAGAACATACCATACTATCGGATGGTCTGAACAAAAAGTCCACATTGGTGGTTTTGCTTCACAAAAAGGCTTCCTTTTGGTTCAAAAGTACACACTGTCCAGAACATTAGCAGCCATATCATTCATAAAGGAAAGCAAAATATTCTTACAACAGAAGCGGGTAGTCAATTGTTTTGGAATTACTTACCAAAATTAGGGGAAGCCAAATACTATTAGTACTCATTTGGACTTAAATTTAGCTTTCAGTTTTTCCAGCTCTTCCCCTTGTCGCTAAAATATTCAAAATACCCAGTTTACCAGACACAAACCATGAAAGGCAGATGCACAAATAAAGAACAGAAATTTAAGACCTTATATAATCTTTTCCAGAACTGATCTGATCTTTCTACAAGCAAGCACCATTCCATTGCCATATCATATTCAAGTGTGTTAGGCTGGGAAGAATGTGAAGTAGATACCGCTTCTTTCTGGAAAAAAAAAAAGGAACACCCAGAAACCAATTAACAGATATAGAAAAGGAAAAAGAAATCACCAAATAACTCAAAATTGAAGGTGTGTGTAACCTAGCAACCATGTTATAACATCAATCAAACACCTATAACCTGAGAGAGAGAAAGAGAGGAGAAACAGGTACCATCTCCCGTTGGGGTTTGAGTTTATCAAGAATGAGATGGCCTACAAATGTTGATTGCTTCCTTGGAAAGCAAGGATTTGCCATGCTGGCAACAAGTGGCCTACACAACAAGAAATAAAGTTACATAAAAAGCAAACATGGAGCATCCTAACTGCTCCTAAGGCCGGTTCTGAATGCCATAAATTGATCTCAATGTCATGAATACGGTAGAAATTTACCATACAACGGGACCGGCATAGACTAACAATATGGTGTAAACAGGCAAGATACATAACAAATTACACAATTGAAAGAGCCACGGATGAGCAAACAGAAAGAGGTGATTGTGCACACACCACAAAATGAGATCATGTACCCAGAAGACCTAAACCAGTTCTTTTCATTGCAGAAACAGAAAAGCTGATCAAGAACGCATAGGTCGTATGAAAAAACAACAATAAAAAAGAAAATGAAAATGCCTCTAGTAAGTTGTGAAGATAAAACTTTTCAAACCCAACATCTGGGTTGTAAGGGGCATACTAGTACTTCATGCAACATACTCTAACTGACATGAGTACTAGCAAGCCACGGCATTACTTGACAATGGCAGTTGAAGCCACTAGTCAAAAAGCATGAAACTGGAGTAATGACAATGATTACATTTGCACAACACCACTGATTGATTATGGTTGCACCCATACCTCCGATTCGGTAGCAACAAGCATCCCTCATCCAATTTTGTAACAACCCATTCTGCTACTTCACTTGTTTTGAATATAGCCAAAGCTTGAGCTACAACATGTATACACAGTGCATCAATAATTGCTATACTTGAGGGACCAAAAGAGGTTCCTTTTAGTTATAGATAAGGTTTTAAGTATTGGTATTTTGAAAAACTAGGATAGGAAGCACAAACAGGGACATAGGACATGAAGATTATATGACACAGACACAACAACACAACAAATTCTCAAAAAACACCGAAGGCAAACAACAAAAGCATTCAGCACAACACTCAGGCCAGCCTTACTCATCTCCCTGTTCTGACACCTTGTTTGACATATCATATCAGAAATATGACTATATATCTTGTCTTAACAGGGAAAAAGCAGAGTTCTATATCAGGACCTCTAGATACACAAAATATCATATGATATTTATAAATTTGGCAATATTTCATTTCAAGCTTCAGATAACTATCCAAGGCCACCGTATTACTTTTGGATAGTTCCAAGGGAAGAAAACTGTTTTCTAGCACTTTTTCAAATCATCAAAGTTGCATATAGGATGCTTTTATACCAGAATGGGTGCTAGAGTATGCAGTCCGCTGCGCCATCTTTGCTCTGCAAGTTTCCTTGAAGACACTCCAAACAATATCCTAAAATATAAAACTAAATTCTTCAGATGGAAGCAGAAAAAAGAACAAAGCAAAAACATAGGAAGAGGAAAAGAAAAAGAGAAATATGTATGCATGGAAATATGAAATACTACCAAACACAACAAAATCACTTTTGATTCAAAATATAGATACTACCTCCACTTCCGCTGAAGTGCAACATGGATCCAAATTTTGAAACAGGACAAGTCTTCCATGCTCATGTGCATCCTGCATTCTTTCTTCCCAAGGCTGAAACATTGTATGAGGTAACTTACAGATCAGTCTAAAGATAGTAGACCAATTTCACAAGTGCAATGACTGTCAAAGTGGACTGCTGAAACTAATTTAAACAAATGCAAGAGTGACAGAGAACTACTTACAAGTTCTGCAAACCATTTGCTCCTATCCTGTCAGCATGCATAAACAATATATTGTAAGAACTAAAGGAAAAATCACATCTCCACAAGAATTTTTCACATCATGGAGAACGAAACTGGGATATCAGGTCAATAGTAAGTTCATCCACAAAAAGGGGGAAAGCAGAAACTTGCAAGCACAATACCAACCAGGACACAATGAGCAAGACCCGAATAAAACTTATTCATCCAAAAGAGGGATTTGAGTAAAAACAAGAACTAAGGTAGCAAAAAATTCACATGAGACCACACTATTCTTCCATGTAAATTTGAGTTTCATAAGATTTATCTATCATCTATATAATAATACCAAAAGTGCAACAAAACTATTACTTCAGAACAATATAATTTCCAAATTAAGATATTTGGAAAAGAACTGTTAAAATTTTGCAAAGTAATCACATCTTTCTTATCAGATACATTCCAATCTCCTTGCTTATACCTTACATATGCATTAGAACCCCATGTTCCTTAACATAAGATCTATTAAAATGAAACTGATTAGGAAACAAGAATAGGAAAGGAAAGGAGAAGGCAACCCCAAAGTAGCACTTACAGAATCAGGCCTCCTGGTAACTCCCACTGCTTTATCACCAGTTTTGATGCCACCCTTTGGAGGCCATGCAGGACATTCTTTGGACTGCTTGCTGTTAGTAGGTTTTGTGAGTTTATCATCAACCTTCACCTTCTTGGAAGAGTTTCCAGTTGTCCCAAGAGTATCTATAGCACGTCTTGATTTATCTTCAGAAGCAGTGAAATTTAGCACTGAAGGCTTTGAATTATAGCCATCAAAATCATGGTTTGGGTTAAGCACGTTATTCGTGTTCTTGTCACTGGACACTTTCACAGCACTAGCAAGCTTTGCTTTCTTATGTGGCCTCTCATCTACCTCACCTGAATCTTTATTCATGTTCCTGTCATTGCACACTTTCACAGCACTAGCAAGCTTTGCTTTCTTATGTGGCCCCTCATCTACCTCACTTGAATCTTTATTCATGTTCTTGTCAGTGGACACTTTCACAGTACTATCAAGCTTTGCTTTCTTCTGTGGCCTCTCATCTACCTCACCTGAATCCTTAGTTGATTTTAACTTTTCATCAACTTTGACTTGATTGACAAAAGACTTACCAACCCTACCTATCTGCTCACTAGCAGTGCTTTCCTGTTTAACTAACGACACTTTTAAGTCTGCATTTTCTTTAACATTACAGCTCAAATCTATCTTCTCACCAGAAGTATTTTCCTGTCTATCATTGATGTTGGTCAGTTCACTTGACTCGGTAGCTACAACAGAAACAGGCTTCTCTCCTGGGAAGAAATTTGGTTTAACTGATCGCACTTTTACATCTGAATTTTCTTCAACTTTAGGAGAAGTAGTTTTACAAATAAACGTATTCTCTTGTCTATCATTGGCAGCAAGCTTCTCTCCAACCACAGGGTTTTGTTCCTCTTGTTCATCATCTTCAAGAAATTGATCATCAGTTGAATTTAGCTTACACAAAATATCCCTTTCATTTGTTGCCATAGCATTTTCCCTAGCATGTGCATTGTCTATACCAAGATTACAAACAGAACAGGGCTTCCCAGAACCCTCTTGGTTAAAGATAAATTTAACTGCAACCATTTGAGGGAAAAAAAAAGGAATTTCAACAGTCAAATTAACCAGAATTAAACTAGAAATTGCTGTGAAGGAGTGTTAGATGATTAAAAAAAATACCATCAATTCCGGCAATTTTATCGCCTATCTTATCCGAGATAAAGTATTGCCCAACATCAAAAGTACGGTAAAACACAAAGTCAGCCATTTGGAGCTCTTCATTTGAGGGTTTTGGGTTTCTGCTATCCTTTGAAATGCAAACTATATTGCATTTGCCAGAAATTGCTTCCTGAAATTGCATTTTCCAGCAAATTGTTAACAAAATCTTAACAGCTTACAAAACAGGGAAATTAAAAGTTGACTGTTTAGATGAATGGAAAACCAAAAACCCCTCAAAATTGTCAAGCTCAAAATACTTCCGATGATAAAGAGCAAAAGAAAGCATAAAAATTTAGCTGTCAGTCAATACCAAAACTCAGAAATCAGACTGTAACATAACAAGTAACCGTGCACGAATAACTGCAGAGGGTATAGAACATTAGCACCCTGAAAATGAACGATCAAATACTGAAACAATTTATAAAATTCCAATTACCAAGGGATTAACGTTGGCAAGGCCTACTCCTTCACCAGATGCCAAAAATACTTCATTCGAATGAGTCAATTCAAACACAAGAAAATTTGAGATCTCAAAAGGTTGGAAAAACCATAAAACCTTCACTTTCTTTGATTTATCAGGATTCTCCCATATTTTTATAAGTTTGCCGAGATAAGGCAATGGTTCACCTTCCTTGTGAAGATAAACATTGTCATAAAGGTTGTACTCAAGACCATCATAAGTAAATGATTCATAAAACTGAACATCTTTCTTTCTGCCACCAATTCCTCTTTTTTTACCCCACTTAAATTCAAGATTCTCGACTTCATCAACTTCTACCATACTCTCATAGCAGGCCTCTCCTTGACCAGAGTAGTAAAACCTGGAAATAAGATAACAGAGTGGAATTATTTAGCATGCAACAACGGCATTGCAATTCTATGGAAAAACATTTACGTATTTTGTTAAAAGATAACAAAAGAGACTAACCATTATCATGCAAATAAATCATTTCCCCAAAATTAATTACACGATGAAAAAATTAAATACCAATAAAGTTCGAAATAAAAAAAAATCGTCAAAGATTGCAAAGAAAACAATTTCTTACTATAACATTTTCCAGAAACTACTTTCCAGGGGAAGCCAAAAGCCGCAATAAAACCTTAAACTCATTTCATGCGAAACAATGCCGTGAGCAATAGCTATCCAAATCTTCAATAGAGAGAGAGAGAGAGAGAGAGGTTGGCGAGAAATTCACTTACGATTTCAGAAGAGGCGTAGAGTGAGGCGTGTTTGCTTTAGCTTCTTGTTCTTTCTGTTGTTCTTGGCGAGGAAAAAAATTAAAAAAAAAAAAACCCTAGCGAATAGCACGCTCAGTTTCCCTCTTCTCTCCGATGGATTTGGTAAACTCCTTTCTCTTCTTAATTATAATCGTATTTATATGTGCGCTTGTGACGTCTTTGTTCTTAGCATCTCCAAATCTACGTGTGGCGGCAGTGATAATAGTTTAGAGCAATCTTTATTTTATTTTTTGTCAACAAAATAATTCCTTTCTATACTTCGACAATAATAAAATATTTCTTTTATTAATAACATTTTGAGATATTTTCTTTTTTTTCACTGGATAGTTTATTTTACAAAAAAAGTAAAAAAATATATGTATATTATTTAAAAAACTCATAAATTATTCAAAAAAATTAAATAAATTTTTATTCTTTCATCATATTCAATTAAATTTTTATATTTTATTTTTAATAAAAAAATTATTTTTAATAATTAATTATTATTATTATTAATTAAATTATCATTAATATTAAAAGGTCGACATATCTTAATAAATAATAACATTATATACTTGGTTAAATAATATAATCACATGTTACTTTCACAATCCATATTAATATTACAATACTATCAAATGAATCTAAAATTATAAATAATATTTTTAAAAATAATATAAGAATATACACTTTGATTAATTGCCATGTATGCGCTTCTAATATTGGTTAATTGTCTCAAAAGTTTAAATTTATAAAAAGAGACCAATTACTGTCATATTAAAATCTCAATAATACAGTAGAAGTTTTAGTTTAAGGTCTACCATTGGAGAAGAAGATGGAAATGATAAATACAAAGTAAAAGTTATAATACAAGAATAAAAGAATGATTTGCTGTGTTATTTATAATACAGAGTAAAAATTAACTGATGTAACAATATAATTAGTAACGACATAAACAAGATATTTTAAAAACAATTTGATAGAATTTAAACTCAAAATACAAAATCATATTTAATTTAAATATAAAAAATAAATTAATAACTGAAATGTTACAGTATTTCAAACACAATTCTTTTTTATACAATTAATATATCATTAAATTTTTAATTTTGATAATTAAAACTATGATTAATGTTTTACCTAATTTTTTTAGTTTTAGAGTTAAGTGGAGTCTAATCTTTTTTTATTAGACATAAAATTAATTTCTTGATATGTTTTTGTCCTTCCTTAACCGAACACATTGCATCGGCCTAGAGATTAGATTATGCCTCCAATTCAACCCCAAATCTCTTTTCTGTTTTGACTTCAACAAGAGAGTTGGAGGTTAGGATTTCCCGCGAGTTGTTTTGGTCAAACTAGCGATGGTAGTTCAAAACCATGAAGAAAATTACACTTTAACCTCATGTGTTTTTTCATATATGTCAATATTAAGTAGAATAAACTAAAAAATTTAGTAAATTTATTATACTTTTTGAATTTTAGGTGTTTTAGTATTTTGTTCAAAATTAACAAATTTATTCGCTATAATGCTGGTAAATGTTACGAAAAAAAAACTTATAAAAAATACAAAAATTAAATTTACATTCAAGACATGGATGATAATTTACCAATTTTTTTAAATTTAAACAAGTATGTTATAGATTTCAAGTTATATTAATAATTGAAAATAAGATTATATTTTGCATAAAGATTTTGGTTAAATTATGTAATTCATTTTGTACTCTCTCAAAATAATGAAATAATTCCCGTATAATAATTTGTAAAAATTAGATTCATGTAAATTTTAAAGTTGACAATGTCAATTCAAGTATTAATATGTTAAAATATTTTCGTTATCCATATTAACATAATGTTTAACTATATTATTGTGGCATTAAATTTGATGATATAGTATTAAAAGAATGATGGAATGATTATACAATGAAGATTTTTGACTAATTTGTTGAGATGAATCGAAAATCCATTTAAGTTTTTGAATCTTTTGTTTGATTATTATCAATTCGCTCTCTTCGTTTCTTTCTTTTTATTAATTAATGATTATCTCTCAAATCAATATTGTAATTAGATTGAAAAATCAATATCTTTTTTTGAAATCACTTTAAATTATAATCAGATTGAAAAATTAAAACAGACATAAAATTAGAAATAAAAAATATAATAAAATGATTAAAATTGATTTATCATGATTGAATTTCGAGATTACGAATTAAGCTTATTGATTTATTTGTAGATGAATGATTTTTTATTATTTTTATTTTTATTAACTTCATCCATCATTTTTTTGTCCGACATTTTTGAAAGGTATTTAAATGTCTTATTGAAAATGAAGGTATGGTTTATAAGTGATATTTATACATGAAATTATATAAATTTTAAAAAATATTTGAGACATTTTAAAACTTTAGGAAAATGGGATAAGCGGAGCCGGCGGAGAGACGTGGGCCAGAGAGAGGGAGTTAAGTTTGTAGGAACATCACTGCGTATTTAACTATTGTTTGACGCACTGATCCGATGTTTTGCCGTTAAAATAAACCTAATTTGCGAGGCCAGAGCATTCGGTGAAGGTATAAAGGCGAAAAAGCTAAAAACGGTAAAGACGGAGGGCACCATTGCAAATACATAATATATTTGAATTACAACTCTGTGCATCAAGTATCAGAACGTTCGCTTTCACCACCAGGGTCTCCTTGGCGCTCACTTCCATGATTCAAACATCTCAACGGCGTCGCATTTGAGACTCCGAAAAGCATAAAGAAAGAGGGCGAGAGCTAGGGTTTTTTCAGATCGTCGTTGATCTTTCCCATCTCCGATAATGGCTTCTGGTTCGCCTCGAGCCCGCATCGATCAGGTTTATCCTTAATCCCATCTATTTTTTTCCTTTAAAAGAAAATTTCAAAACCCTAATTATCTTTCCCAATGATCATTTCGTTTTGCTCTTGAATATCAATTTAAAGATTGGACTATACTCCCTTTTCTTTTTCGATTATTTTTCTTAATTACAAGAAGGAAGGTATCTGTTTCTGGCCTAATGATGCATTATGGGAAATTGATATTCCCAAGAAAACTCAACATGAGAAAGCTTGAAACGATATTTGCTTGTCTTATTGGTTATTCAGTTTTTTGCCTCGAAGAAGAGGAAAACCCAATCACCTGGCTTGAAGACGGGGAGATTTGAAAAGAATGCAAAAACCACGGTCGAAGGCTCTCCTAGTGCCAAAGGCACTCTAGACAATTACCTAAGAACTTCACAAGAGAATGAAATCGTGCAGCCTTCATGCACGATTCTTGGACAGGATCCTGTTAAAAGAAGCTTGGCATTGGAGATTGATAAATCTTCTGAAAAAGAGAATGAGCAGTCCTTTTTATTGGCTGAAGTGAAGTCTCGAAGTTGTGAAGCATTTCAAGTGACTCATAACGGAATATATCTGGGTTCATCTGAGGAAGGAAATTTTGACTTTGGAGATCCTGCTGAGGTGGCTGCGCAAGGCAGGGAAAATTCAGAACTAAAACAATTTGCTACTGATTTTTTGTCTTTGTATTGTAGGTAATGCTGCTGTATCTCGTTTATTTACAAAAATTTCTATGGTAGTTTAGACTTTTCTAGTATTTAAATTGTACCTTTTCTTCAACTCTGCAAGATAAACATTTTACTGTTATTTCTATTTGTGTTGGTATGCAGTGAAGTTCAACCACATGTAGGTTCACCATCACAGCTGAAAGAAAATGACCAGAAGAGACATGGTAGTCTATCTATGCTGAGTGAGGAGTATAAAAGATTCAAGAAAAGACATCTGATATCCCATCAGTTACAAACAGAAGTTGAAACTGTTTGTTCTACTAAGAAGAATCTCAAAAATGAAACTGGAGAGTTCATTTTGAACCTTTCAAGAGAGGTAAGCAACCACTCTGTGTCAGTTTTGATGATTGAAATTCCCCTGATTTTTTGTTTAACTAATTTTTGTTTGTTAAGGTAAGCACGGGCAGTAATCTCATTGAGCTTCAAGCATGCTTAAGAAAATGCACTACAACAACCAGGCCTGTCCTAAATACAATGGAATGCAGTACACCTGGTTCTTCAATTGTTAAAGCATGTGCTTATCGAACACCGCAGTCAATGCGAGGGAGCTCCATGTTTTCGCCTGGGGAAGCTTTCTGGAACGAAGCAATTGAAATAGCTGATGGTTTGTTTTCTCGAAGTGATGCATTATCTGCTCAAGTTGCTGAAGAAACTAATAATCCAAAGAGCCAATATGAGATTAATAATATATACAATTTAGGAAATAAAATTGTTGATGACGAGTCAAAGGAAATGCCAGATGAATGCGAGAGCAGAGTGAAACTTAAGGGAGTTGGTACTTCTTTGGAGTCAGCAGTGAAGCAGAAGAAAGAAATGGATAAAGAAGTGTCCCTGCTGCCTGTTAAGCATCTTGACTTTTCATTTGATGACAAAATTTTGGATGGAAGTATCCCTCACATTATACAGAGGGACAGTGAAGTGACTGAATGTGGTATTGTCAATCATAAAGGTCCATCAATCGTTAATACACTGACAGATCATGATGAACTACAGACAATTGAAGAGGTGCAAGGAGAACAACAGGAAAGGGCTTCTGTTCATGTGTTACCCAAAAAGGAAGACAATTTGTCAAGTCAAGATAATAATAGCATAACTTCCGCTTCAGCAGCTAAGAAAGCCAATAAGTCAATTGGTGAATGCCATGAAACCACCACTCCATTAAGTTTTGTGGCGCTTAAAGACTGGTTAAGTCTCAGTAGTTGGCTTCCTTTAGAAATATGCAGAATATATAAAAAGAAAGGAATTTCAGAACTATATCCGTGGCAGGTATATAAATATTTGAATGAATTCAAATAAATTATGATTGCCTTTTTCTCCCTCCCCCTCACCCTTTTTCCCTGTCTTTTTCTAGAAAGGAATTGGGGATTAAATGGGAGAGTTTGGTTCAGACTTATCATGGTGTCATGTTCTTTTACAAGATATTTTCAGCACTTTTTATTAAAGTTTTGATTTTTGGTTTTAACCTAAACCACACTTGGTCTTGTTTTTGGATTTTGAATTGCACTTATATTTACATGTTTCCAGACACAATTGTTCTTATAGATATGCTTTCTCAGATGGTATAACCTGTCCTTTTGTACTCCTAATGAGACTGTACATTGACATTCATGTGATTATCAGGTGCCT